TGTACCAGGGCGCTGGGGCTTGGGCCAGCCGGGCGTGTGCGTGGCTCCAAGCCCAGGCTGAGCCACCGCCTGACCGCAGGGCGCAGCCCGGGCCCTGCAGAGGAGGCTGGCGGGACCCAAGGCTCCCCTCTGCGAGCAGGGCTTGGCGGGAGGGACCTGCCGAGTCCGGCCCCGAGACCTGAGAGCTTGGCTCAAGGGCCCGTGGCAGAGTTGTGGGAACTGGCCCCCTGAGTCATCCCCGGCCGCGTTATCTCCTGACCCGCACCCCAGAGGGCCACCCCCAATGGTCCCCTGGGCGTGTAACGGCCTCCCCACATCGGGGTGGCTGAGAACTGGCAGCAAACGAGATGAGCATGAGAAGCTGACCGCCGCTGTCCACTGAGATCATAGCACCCGGTGCTTCTCGCAACGCAGAAAAGGTACAAAAACGCGCAAGGAACCAGGGCGTGCGGCTCCTCCGGGGCTCGCTAACCTGGCATGCACCCGCCGGCCGGCGCCCACCACCTCAGGCTCTGGGGGGCCGCGGTGGGGTGGGCGGGCTCCGTCCTGCGGGCGGGGCGCCCCTCCCTCGGGCCTGCCGGGAAGGGGCTCTCCCCTCTGCGCCGGCCCCGTAAGTGACGGCACCGCATTTACCCCAATAGGCGGGCACAACGCGGCCGGGATGGGACGCGCAGCCTCCGGCCCTCTGATGGACTCTGCCGCACGCACCCCAATAGGCGGGCAGTGCCGCCGCGCCGCCCCACCCCGCTGCTGCCGAGCTGCCCGGGCCCGTAAAGCGACCTCCCGCGCCGTATTCACCCCGATAGGCGGGCACACCGATGCCGCACCCCGCCGCAGGACCGCCCTTCTCGCGGGGAAGCGGCCGAGGACGCTGGTGGCTGCGGCAGGCTGCAGGGAAGGGACAGAGGCGCGCCCCTGCCTCTGGCCGCGCGCACCCGCGGGCTTTGCTCCCTTCCGGCGCCCCCCTCCTTCCTGGGGCCTGCCGCAGTGGAGGCGTGCCCTACCCCAGGTTTCCGAACTCCCCTGCGCTGGGACAAGGGAGCGTGCCCCCCGCCGCCCATGCTCACAAGGAGCAGCCTGACCAGCGGCCTGTGGAGTGGGTAACCCCGATGCCCTCCTGTTCTCATTAAACCTTGTAAAAATCTGTATCATTGGTCTGGACACTGTTCAGATATGGGGCCTCAACTTCCCCTTCCGTCCTTCGTTTCGACTAGGGTCAGAGGGGCGGGGCAGTCTAGTCCACTTCATTACCCCAAATAAAATAAGGTACTGTGCACACTGCTTCTACGTCAGGAATGACAGGGCTCCTGGGAAGAGCGGTCAGCTGAGTCCTCACCATCCTGAGACAGCAGAGAATGAGCTGGAGGGGCGTCCCACCTGCCAGTGCGGGTGAAGCCAGGCACTGGGGTGGGATGCAGGCTGGGGCACCTGGTCTCAATCCACTGGCTTTCTTGGGCAAAATCAATTTACGGCTTCACGCGAGCACAGAGCACCTACTGTGTGCCAGGCTCTGGGAATAGAGCCGTAAGCACCCGCTCAGGCAATGAGAGCCCACATGTGCTGACAGCGCCCGCGGTGTGTCTGGCTCTGGTTCAGCTGCTTTCCCCGATTCAATTAAACAAATATAAAACATAGATAATTTCAGATAGGGGTCAATATTGCTAGAAAAACAGGACACAGCTGCCTTAGGACAGACACTTTGGTCAGGAATGGGGGACATCTGAGTTGGGGTGTTAAGTGTTAACCCCGGCAGAGGGGATGTCAAGGGCATAGCCCAGGAGTAACAAAGGCCAGCCTGGGGCTCAGGCCCGGGGAGCAGGAAGGTGGGGGTGGGGCAGCTGACAGGGGCAGGCAGGGCCAGAGGGGCACAGAAAGGAATCTGGAACTACTCTGAGATCAGCCTGAATCACTAAGGACTCAAAGAGGGCAAGTTACGTGATTTTATATCTTAAATATCACACTGGCTATCACTGTGGCAGAAGGGCTAGGTGAGGCAATTATGGCATCCTACTGGATGCTAGAGTGGTCCCCAGGCCGGAGCCGGGGGCTGGAGGTACACAGGGGCAAGGCCTGGACAGAAGAGGGGATACAAGGCCCGCTTGGGAGGCTCAGGGGAGCCCTGGCCTGACATTTGCAACGAAAGCCCTGTGGGTCTCCCAGGCCCTCAGAGCTGGCCTACCAGGCCGCTGCTCACGGGCTCATCTGTCACAGGCTCCATGACCTAGGTAAGCTGGGCAATTCTCTGATGACCCTGTTCCTCCAGCAGGGGCCTGGCCAGGTGGTTCCCAGGCCCCTCCCAGTGGTCACTGAGCACCTTGTCCCCACATCCCAGGGATCTGTGATCCCCAACTTGGGGATTCCTGAAGCATTCCCAGGCTGCCCCACCCCTCAGTCCTGTGACATTCCTTACCTTGGATGGCTTATTCCCGCTACCTTGCTGGACAAAGAACTCTGAGCTGGAGTCATTGTGTCCCAGTCCCGAGCCACACAACAAGCCCTGGCTTTCACTGGGGCAGGTCCTGCCCACCCAGCTGGTGCCCACTCTCCTAAGCACAGATGCCAGCATGAGCCAACTTGACACGTGCGTGCACACGCTCCCCGGGGCCCTGGCTTGGAACCACAGTAACACTAAGAGAAAATGTCATCCAAAATCCAAATTTCTACTCAGCTGCCACCACCAAGCCCTGGGGAGGTTCCACTACCTGCTCACATTTCTCCCCGAATGAGTAGGCAGTGGGGCGAAGGTTGCCCAGCCAGCTAGGGCCAGCTGCACGTCCTCAGAGAGCTCAGCCTCTGGTTCTAAGTCCTGTTTCCTCAACCTGCAGGTTTGGTAGGTCTGGGGTGGATCTGGCAGCAAAAAAAATACCTGCTCCTTTGCACCTCCCAGGCTGCACGCCTGGCAGCTGTTAGGTCACAGCACTGTGCCTCACCACCCAACATAGGCCAGTGTCACCTGGGTCCCTGCCACTCCTGCCAGCAGCCCGGCAGTTGCCCCATGTGATCTGTGGGCCACAGGGTGGGAACTGCATCTGACAGCTCCCTTTATATCAGAATGACTGGGATCCTCTTGCCATGCCCCGTGCACCCCAGTGCTTGGCCCCCCTGAGTCTCGCGTCCTGGGTTCAGGCCCCATATATCCCAGCATAACGGTGAGCTGGGTCTGGACAGTTCAGGGCGGCTGCACACCTGTTGCATGAACGCGGAAGGGGCCTGCAACAAGCGTGTCACAGCCTCGGGTGAGCTCCCCTCCGTCTGTAAGTGTGCCTGCGAGCCCAAACCGGCTTAACCTCAGCATCAGCAGAAAGCCCACGTCCCAAAAACACAGCTGCCAGACACACCAACAGTCTCCAAGCTGCTGGCTTGTCATGGAGTTTTTTTTTCTTCTCTCAAGCCCAGCATGTCAGATAACTATCCCAGCTCGGGCGCTTCCAGGAAGAGAGATCTCAGGAGAGGAACTGGTCTCAGACATTCAAAGCATAGAAAATACAATCCTCAGGGGGTGGGACCGCATTAGGCATTCCGTAAGGAGACCTCTGAATTCATGGCCAGCTCGGGCTGGCCGGTGCCCTGCCCAGGAGGGAGGAGCTGCCACGTGGCATCCAGGAGGCACAGCCAGGTTCCACACCTACACACCTGGACCGGGGTCCCAGGCCCAGGCCTGGCCCATCTACTTTGTCACCCTTGCTAAACACAGCCTGGCACGGCAGACGAGGCCAACACTCAGGGCCTGCCTCCCTGGCACCCTGTGCCCTGCCGCACACACGTGCAGCAGACAATAGGAACCGCAGATCTGGAGCTTGAAGCCTGAAGAGGAAACGTCAGCAGCCCCTGGACTGCCTGCTGCCTGCAAAGCCTGCCAAGTTCAAGGAGCCACAAGGCCCCACACAGTCAAGGAAGTGGCTAAAAGCGCAGTGGACAGATCCCTCAGCCCACTATGGTTGGGGGCAGGGTATTTGCCGTCTGGGACCGGAATCCACCTGGGGCACAGACACAAGGCTGTACCCATCTGACCCAAGGGCTGTGCCCGTGTCCCAGCTGTGACTGTCACCGCCCCTGGCCTGGGGGCTGTACCCAGGGAGAAGATCACAGAGGTCGCCGGTAAAAGGCACCTTGAACAGGCTCAGGCAGACAGGCAATCACACATATCAATCATTTCTTGTGCAGACAGAGCAGTGAGTTAGTAAGACCCCAAGATGGCAAATGAGCAGAAATCCAGCCAGATGCTCCAGCGAGGCCAGGCCTGCCTCAGCCCAAGAATGGGTGGGGTCTGAGAAGCCCACCTCGCCCTGGGAGGGACCTGTCCCCGCCCCCAGGAGCCACTCCAAACCCTAACTCCAGCTGGCTTCTGACAGCAGACAGCCCAGCTGAAGGGGCGGGGCGGGGCGGGGCCTGGAGCCCAGGTGGGCGGAAGGGTCCCCAGGGGCTGCTGACACCCCCCCCCCCACGAACGTCCCACCCTCCTCTCGGCCAGGCAGCCCCCCACTCTGTGGGCACAGGCAGGGACCCTCGGAGCCAAGGCCAGAGCTCGGAGGCCAGACCCGGCACCCGCGCCGCGCACACCCGCCCCTCTCGTCTCGGACCCCCGGGCCGGGCTGCGCTGGCTGCCCGAACCCGGCTCCGCGGGCGGACGCACCCAGACGCCGTGCCTCCCGTCCCCGCTCCTTCAAGCCGCGTCCAGTGGGGCGCCCGGCTGCGCGGGCGGCTCCCCACGCCCAGGCCCCACCCGCGCGGGGCCGGCCCCGCGCCACCCGGGCTCCCGCTGCGACAGGCGGGGAGCCGCTCCCCAGCGTCCGCCGCTGTCGGGGGCCGCGGGCCGCGCCCGTGCCCGGGGATGGGGGGCGGCGGCGCGGGGCTCCCCCACCCCCGCACCGGCCGCGGTGGCCTGCAGGACGCTCCCGGGCCTCCCGCCGCGGTCCGTCGGGACCCCTCCCCGGGTCCTCCCCGGCCTCCCGGCGGGTCCCTCCCGGCTCCCCCGGCCTCCCCGCCCGCCGCGCCCTTACCGTACGACGGGCCGGGTGCGCCGGGGCCGGGCGCGCGGGGGCTCCGCGGGCGGCCCGGCTAGGCTGCAGGAAATGCCAGAAGACTGATCCAACCGCGCGGCGAGGGCAGGAGGGAGCGGCGGGAGGGGGGAGGGGAGGGGAGGGAGGGGCGGCGCGGCGGCCGCAAAACCCGGGCGGGATCCGCGCGCGGGAGTGGGGCCTCGAGGACCCCGGCCCCTGCCTGGCCGCGCACGCCCACCCCCCACCGGCGGACCCTGGCTCCCTGCCCCAGACAGGAGTGGGCGGCCAGGGGCGGGCCGCTCCTCCCCACGTGGGCCGGAGGCTGGGACGGGTGGGGGCAAGTGGGGTCAGGCTGGAAGAGTTTCTGAATTTAGGGGTGGGGGAGATGCCGCGGTCCCAGACGGTGCGCCTCCAGCCCACCCTGGCCGGAGTGAGGGGTCCCTCCTCTCTCTTTCTGAGCCAAGGAACTGTCACCATTTCCTGCACTCTCAGAAGCCCCGGGAACACCCGAGGAACCCCAGGTGTCTAGGTTCCTTTGTCCTCGTGTGTTAAAAAGGACCCCTGCGTGCACCCCACAGCTCTAACAGCACCTCTTTCTCAGGAGTCTGTTGCTGGAGCCCACCCCCTGTGGATTTCTTCATAAGAGCCCCCTTCTCTTCTGCCCTCAGAGACCTTTTTAGACCCCGATGCCCTCTCATAGAGAAAAGACACTAACTCTTCTAAGCTATCCCAGGTAGGCGCTGAGGGGCCCCGCCCGGCCTCTCACCTATAGGCCCTAACGTGGGGTAAGCTCTCACGGGCCCCAGGCCTCGCTAGCCCCCAGCCCCCAGCCCCCAGTCCCCGGCCTGAGGTGCTCCGTGACCTTGGTCTTCAGACCCTGCCAGGGCCTTCCACTGGCTCCGTCCCCCAGAGGCCAGACCAGCTGGGGCTGGGCCCATCTCCCAGCACCCCCAGTCCAGGTAGAACACCGAGGGCAGGGTCACGGAGCCTTTTCCAAATGGATCTGAGTGGCTCCCTTCCATGGGATGGGACTGACCCACAACAGAGGGGGGCCTCCTTCCCAAGACCCAAGCTGGTGGCCTATGCCCCCACATTTCCCCATTTTCACCTTATGTTGGGTGGAGAGAGCCTCCAGCACCTCTCAGCAGGGGGAGGCAGCGGGGCTACTACGCTGGGCAGTGGGGGCAAGCCTGGGATACTGGCTGCCCAGTGGACCCCTTCCAGCCCTGAGTTGGAGCAGGTGTTCAAGGGAGTGGCGTGTGCTCAACTGTCCAGCGGGTGGCCTCAAACCAGTGCCCTTCCCTGCCACCTTCAGCATCACGTCCACCTGTTGGGCCAGGTGCCGGCTTCCCCTGGGGGCCCTCCTGTCAGTCAGAGGAGGGGTGTGCTGCCTCAGAGCAGCCTGAGCCATAGTCACCTTGTGAGGTCTTTGGGTGCAGAGCTGCTCAGACAAGATCCTCAGGGCAGTGGTGGGACGCTGCGTTGCGAGGCCCAGGGCAGGTGGCTGCCGCCTCTTCAGGAGAGGGGCTGTGCTGTGCAGGGGGGTTGAGACCAGATGAGACATCTTTGAAGCTTCTGCCCAAAGCTGGGGTGTGGCTGCCAGGAGCCTGGCTACCTGCTGGTTGCTGGGGCCCATCCCAGGAGGCAGGGAAGAAAACAAAGCCTCCGTCCCCTGGGGCGGAGGTCTCAGGGGCCAGACTAGGGAAAGTCCCAGTCACTGGTGATGCCGGCTTTCTGAAGCATGACCTGCTGCGGGAAGAGGTCAAAGGGACACCTGGCCGGAGTCTAGGGATGTGGTGGGCAGGACCCAAAGGGCGGCAGAGGGTGGGAGATGGGATGTGGGGTATGGACAAGGATTGGTCTGCTCACACGGTGGGTCACCAGACAGCCACTTGGGAAGCGAGTAACACACCGCCTGCTGGACACAGCCTGGCTGTCAGGTGCCCCGTCCCGCTGCCCGGCCAGCACTGGATTCTTCCAGAAAGCCCCCCACCCCCTTGATGGAGAGACACTGCTGCCAGAAAGCACTTAGTTCCCACCCAGGCTTGTGACTCGTGCCTCTGGGCCTCAGCTTACCCACCTGTCAAAGGGAGACAGGTGTGTGCCTGTGGGCGGCGGTGTGGGGAACATGGTGCTGCCCGAGGCTGCTGTTGAGGCCGGTGAGCCAGGGCTTCCCAGGTGAGCCCAGGGCAGGAAACGGCTCCCCTCGGCGCTGGAAGCAGCCACAGCAAATTACTTTTCTGGATTTATGCTAATGCGGGTGGATCTGCCTGTGAGCAGGAAGATTTTTTAAAGCACTTTGCAGATGTGGAGGGCTTCCCCCTCAAGCCAGCAGAGCAGTTTAAGAGGAAGCCTCTGTCCATGTCTCAGAGCGGCGGTTCTCAGCTGGGGGCCATCTCGCCTCCCGGGAGGTGTCTGGAGACATCCTGTGTTGTCACTTGTCACAAGTGGCCCAAAGGTCAATAGTGCCGAGGCTGAGAAGCCCTGCTCCACAGGGAATACACTTATAACTGTTGGAATCTCTCAATGCTGGGCGGTTTGTCCGCGGGGATTGCCGCAGTGCCCAAGGCCTGCTGTTGACAGAGCCGCACCCTGTCCCCGGTCCTCTGCTGAGGGCTCCAGACACATGGATGCAGTCAATCTTCCCAGCAACCCTGTGAGGTAGGTACTGTCATGTCTGGCTCCATTTCACAGATGGAAACCAAGGTACAGAGCAGGGGAGAAAGTCGCCAAACTCTCACAGGGAGCAGAGACTCACCGCCCTGCTGTCTGCTCTGGAGCTGGGCCCCGAGCCTTGCTCATGAAGAACCACAGACTGCCAGGAGCCCTCCCAAGCCCTGGACCTTTCGCTACACCAGGCTGCCTCCCTGTAAAGGGCCGGGGAGGCCAGGACACTTTGGAAGCTGCCTGGGCCCATTTGAGAGAGGGTACTGCCAGGGACGGGCCGCCAGGGGCTCTGGCCGCCGCAGGGGCAGGGCCAGCATCATCGGGCAGGGTGCCACATGCTCACATACCTATTATGTCAGGCCTTGCCAAGCCAGCAGTAGCTGTTTCTCCCCACTTCCCAAGTGAGGAGGCTGTCAGGGTGCGGCTGACCCCCAACCCCTCGCTGGGCGGCGGTCCTGCTCCCTGGGCCGCAGTGGTCTGACCCAGCGGTTTGGCCCCTCCCCTCTGCCCCAAGGCAGATCCATCCCAGGGGGCGGCCTGAAGAATTCGCCACTCAGGGGCAAGTCAGAACCGTCTTCACTGCGAGACCCTTGGCCCCCCACTCAGTTTCCCTGCCCGTGCAGTGGGGCTGAGATAACCCACGCGGGGTCGGTGACGTCTGAAGCCTTGACATGGTCTCCAGAACACAAGAGCCAGTCCTGAAACAACTGCTGGCCATGTGCCCGGCACCGTATCCCCCACTTCCTACGTGTGACTCGACTGCATCCCCTCCTCCACCCAGAGGCGGGGTCAACGTTCTGCTCAGAGCAGTGAGGGCAAGTGACCAGCTCCAGGCTGGGCGGCTGGGGAGCGGTCGAGGCAGGACCAGGCCGCAGGCCTGCCCACCTGGCCGGCCGGGGCTGAACCGCCCCCCCCACCCCGTGCCCCCTGGGACTGGGCATGATGGAAAGAGCCTGTCCTCCAGCTCAGCCCTGAGGCCTCGGCTCCCACTGTGGTGCGGGAGGTGGGGGTGAGGGAGGCAGGGCAGCACCATGTCCCCAGACACGGCCCTCCTTCTCTCCCCAGGGAGATGCTGTGTGGTGACATCCCTGTGGACTGAATTGCACAGCCAGGTGTGGGGTCCGAGCAGTGGCTGGCTGTTCTCTCTCAGCGGAAACTGAAATTCAGCTGTAGAACCTCCTTGGGAATCCTGGGTGACCCTCCCACCATGCTGGTCGGTCCTGCTGCCTGGATGGCCCCCCTCTTTCTGTGCCCCGCTATCTGTCTTGCTAACACCACACACACGCGCGCGCACTCCCACATCCTCCAGAAAGACACATCTAACCCCCTGGTTCAGGCAAATGCCAGGTGATAATAAGGACGTGCAATTTCCCACCTATCTGGTAACAGTACTTATTTTACCTGGGGGGACTGTTTAGAGGGCAAGGTGCTGTTTATAGAGCAAGACCCCCGGGGGGCTCTCCAGGAGGCTGACGCGGTGGGCCTGGGTTTGGTTAGCAGGTGTACCTCGCGCCCGACAGGTGACAGGGAAGCCCAGCAATCCCGCAAAGGGAGTGGAGAACTTGGGGAGGGAAGGTCACGTGGGTCACAGCAGGTTGGCACTGGAGCGTGTGTGGACTGTGGGGCACTTCTGTCACTCTGCAGGAACACCAGGGCACCCCACAGCTAGGATGTCTATGCTCACTTTGAAGCAACCAGAGCAGGGGCTGTCCGAGCATAAACCTGAAACCCTCCTGGGGGCCCCTGAGACTATTTCAGGGGTCCAAGCTGTGAAAGCTATTGTTCTCCTAATCCTGGGATGCTGTTAGCCTCTTTCACCTTTATTCCCTTACAATTTTCAGTGGAGTTTTTTGGGGAAATACGTGTGATATTGCAATAGATTAAATGTTGAAGCAAATGTGAGAATTCAGCTGGCTTCTGTTAAGCCAGGCATTAAAAAGACTCTGAAAAATGTAAAACAATGCCACTCTTTTTCACTAAGTACTTTCATTTTGGAAAATACAGTGATTTTCTTCAATAATGTGTTATTTGTGTTAACAATGTAATGGTTTTGCACTGTTATTTTTTAATGCATAATTAAATATTTTTTAAAAACTTAAATACTGATAAGTTAATCTACAGAAATAAATATTCTTTGTGGCCCCCAATAAGGTTCTTTGTTTTAAATAGAGAAGCTCCTGAGACGAAGAGGTTTGAAGAATGCTGGATGTGGAGCAAAAAGACTCCAGTGCGGTGTTCTGGAAAGAACCTGGGCTTTGGAATTAGGCAAGGGTGCGAATCTAGGCTTTGCTGACCTCACCCCCTCCTCTGCCCCCACCCCACCCCCATTGCAATCACTGCCGCCAGCTCCACCAGTCTCACCGCCAGCACCATCTCTCTTGGCTGAGCACAGACCGTGTACCAGGCACTGTGCGAGGTGCTTTACAGTTGTCTTCTCCAATCGCCATA